ATTGTGACTAGCTGACCTCTTTTTAATGATCATTTGATTGAACTAGCCATAATGCTACAACAAACAATTAAATAAACCTGTGCTTTATAAAACAGGTATCCCGTGGCCAATCAGAAAGGGTGGCTTTCATTCTGCTCGAATTTGTAGAGTTTGCATCCACAGGGAAAGCTAGACTGGACATGCTGAATCGAGTATTGTCGAAGTCGATAGGACGGTAGGCAACAGCAGCTGCCTCCTGAGCGGCTTCAGCTGCTCTACGATTAGCCAATTCACTAAGCATTTCAGGATTGGCAATTGGAAGCAGCGAGGTGGGCATGTGCAAAGGCGAGGCAGCCAGTATCTGGAAGAACAAGTAGCAAAGATGAGATTAGATTAAGTTAGTTCAGAACATTCAGTCCCATTTAGCTCTCTTCTATAGTGGGTACCTCGACACTAAGCCAAATAATTTTTTCAGAGCCATTTTGAACCAATTAGAGCACGCTTTCATCTAATCTCATTTCTTTAGTATGCACCCAGTCATCGAATAGATGATTCCATTAAGTTAATTTTTGTTTTTCTTTAATATAGAATTTATAATCAATATTTTTTCTGAAGCAGGTTTTGGATCATTCGTTAATTTAGATCCATTATATTTGGATAGAGAATAGATCACATAAAATAATGTGGGATTCATATACTCCTATTTGCACCTATTTTTATAAGCAATAGTATTGATATATGTACAAATCGATATATATATGTATGGATGTATGTAAGTATATACACATAATACTATGAATAGAACCGAGTGTATTGGAACAATTGGACCTTAAGATGCTTCGCCACTTACTCTCAACGTACGCTAGTGATGAATCTATGAAATAGGATTAAAAAATAAGGCTAGATGATATGCCTTAGAAACAACAGGAATTGCTTTCTCAAAGTAAAAACTGAGATTAAAAAATAAATTGAAAAATACTATTTAAGTGACATGTATAACAAAGTAAATTAGTTGCTTCTATCATAGAATTACCTGCAATGTCTGTACAAGGGCTAAATTGAGTGTAATAATTAATTTCAGGAATATTAAAAAACCAGATAATACGCGCTCTTATAAAATGAATTGATTAGGAAGGCAAATGTTCGTAATATATCCACAATCTGTTAAAACTCAA